CTAAGGAGGTTGTCCTTTGTTTGCAAGTATGTGCACATGCATGTACCTGTACACACAAATGCTTTCTCAATGATATTATCATACCCAAACAAATACACCCAACTACCCCAATAATTAATAATAATAATAATAATAATAATAAAACAAGGAATATGTGATAAAAATGTAGGGTGTGTGTGTGTGTGTGTGTGTGTGTGTGTGTGTATGTATGTATGTGTGTGTGTGTGTGTGTGTGTGTTTTCTATAATATTATTTGTTAAGACTTTCAAAGTTTGGAGAATATTCCATTTTTTGTAACCTATGGAACTCTAATTTGACTATGTTTCCAAGTTTGGTTATTTATTTTCTTCTTTGGCTTTATACTTTGAGAATATTAGACTGATAATTCATTACGAAATATGTAGAAAACCCCAAGAGTAGTATAATATGTTTTACTTGTGCATGGAGGTGTGCTTGGCAGGAAACCGTCAATTACCCTGATACTGGTATTGATCACATAGTGATAATGCCATCTTTTAGAAGATCATTCCCTTGAAATGGGACTGTAAAATATGAGGGAGATGGGAGTAATGGCAGAAAAAACCCCGAGTACAACTATAAAGGAAAACTGATTCACAGTTTAAAAAAGAGAGTCTAAGCTTGGTACTTAGAGCATAAATTGAACCCTGCTTTATTTGAAAATGAAGTGAAACTAAAAGTGAACAGAATAATTCACTCTGTAAGTCAAGAAGAGAAAGAGCCACAACCCAATTTAACTGATTTTAAGAATTATTTCCCAAATGCATTTAGAATAGACACAGCCCAAAGATTATTATTTAGCAAAGGAATAACAAATTAACATACACAAGATGCAATGCACTGGATCATATTCTGGTATTGGGTTAGCATTGCATGGAACAACGATTAGAAACAAAATAAAAACTTCTATTTCCTACCTAGATCACTGGCTACCATCTTGGAAAACTTTCTGCTTTGGGTCTTCACTGAAAATAATATTTTAATATAAAATGTCAAAATCTATTCAGAGTAAACTAGATAAATTAAGTATAAATGAAAACAAAATACTTTAAAAATAAAGATACTATACCCTTTTCTATAAAATTATTCACTTTTTGTTCATCGTCTGAATTGTGTGGCGATGAAGAACCTACACAAATAAAGACAACATGAGGAACGGGCACACGATCAGTCACAAACAGAACACAGCGACAATCACAGACTGAAATCTTGGTGACCACTAAGAATTGATGACCACAATTATGAGATTGTTGTAATACTGCAGCCAATAGTATACAATCTTTTATAGCAGACACTACTATATCAAAATTTATTTCTAATAATTTTTATTTAATGTATAATAATTTGGCAAAATCTTACTGCATTTATAAGTTAAAAACACAGAAAATAAATATGACATTTAGACACCTATTAAGTACAGTTCAACATATCTCAGAGATTAAATTACTCACCACCTTTCCAAGTGGGGATTACGTTCCCCTTTAAGCCCTCATGATACTTGACATCCTTCTGATAAAATGGCCATCATTTAATTACGTAGCATTTTTATATTTATGTACAATGACCTTCCTCACCGCAACAGACTTCTACTCTGTTTTATGACCCATCTGTGACCCATGTGTAGTGTGTATCTCATGGAGCTGCCACTAATTCAAATTAGCTAAATGAATGAAGATTTTCTGATAGCTTCAAATATATAAAAAAGAACTGGAGGTAAATAAAAAGATTTCCTTTTCTACGCTTAAAGGAATCCCAATCAAAGTAATTAACCTTAGTGGATTAGGTAGAAACACAAAAACTTGAACTTGACCTCCACATCCCCAAAAATCATCCTTACTATGGCCAGGGAGACATTCTCACCAAGAAAAAAACAGAAAACATGGGCAGAATACAATCACACACACAGAGGTTTGCAAACATTATTCCTTGAATTATTCATGTTGTTTTTGTCAATAGCATCCATAGTTTTTCCCAAATCTAATATAGAACTAACATAAAACCAACATTGATCTCAGTAATAGTTCCAGATTAGAAATAGGTATAGCTGTTTTCATACAAGTGTAACATACTTAAAGAGTATAATGACCATAGAAACTTTCACATTTTAAAATATTGTCATCTCTGATACCAAATAGCTTCATAAATCTATGGTAAAATAGATATCAACAATAGCTTTATTTTATGTAGTTTGTATCAATATCAGATTAATATCAGACTAACAGCTCCACATATAAATATTATAGAAATGTTTGGTGTTTTCTAAACATAAACAGGCAATATAGTTGAAAATGCTCACTACTGGTTGTTTTAATTTATATGACAACACATGACAAGCTTCAAAGTTTATTTAAATCTGCCAGATTACTATAATTAAACAAACACATGAGACATCTACAATTTCTTATTTCCTTCAGGCCACATATAAACACCAAAAGTCAGCATTTATATCATGCTGTGTGAAGCTTTAGTTTAAAATAGCCTAACAGATTCCTATTTTCTGCCTATATAACTATACACATCCACCACAAAAAGAGTGCACCACTTCTAAGGAGCTAGCTGAGCCAATTCAAGCCTCTTAGGCACCACTTCCGCTTGCCTGTGACTACTTCCATTTATTTGGTGTATCCAGCTGCAGGCAGCAGGCACACAAATGATTTATTTTAATATAAATGCAAAAGGAAACTCTCTAGCATGTTGTCTGAAGAGAGCTTTCATTGTAACTAGCTGAGCAGCTAACCACATTGATTATTTATAGTATTTAAAAGGTCCTCAGTCTCCTCCATTTGCATGCACAACCTTTGGTTAACAGATAAGAAGGCACGTGAGTACTTACACTTTTAAATATTGAGCCCTTCTTAGTCTTATAAGGGACTCATTTTAAGTTCCAGTTCCATTTTATTCATATCTATTCCTTTCCTACAAATATTAACTTTTAAAATATTAACTATTGTTTTTAATAATTCACAATGTATCATTTGACAATTTTATTTATTCATATCCTACCTCATTGTAACTATTTCAGACAAGTATTTTTGTTGTTTTCGTGTTATTAAAAGAAGAAACTTAAAAAAACAAAACCAAACTAAGTGTGGTCACATTTAATCTCAGTATATAGAAAGCAGAGCCCAACTTGGTTTGCACAGTGAGTTTAGGCTACCCAAGCCTATCTCAAATTACCAAAAATAAATAAATTAGAAAAAAAAGTGGTTGTTTTTCTGAGTCAATTAAATTCATTTTTTATCATTAGACTTTGATTTGCTAGTAAGAAAACTAAATCATAATAAATTTTTCCTTTATTTCTCAATTAGGAAGTAAAAAGGCCTATGGACAAAGCAACTACAAATGTAGTGAGTAAGATAGTCAGGCCAAAGCCCATCACTAAGTACTGTAATAGAGACACACAGCCAAGCTGCAAGAGGGAGCCTGCTGCACTGTAGCACTGACTTCCAGGTGTTAGTTGTGCACACTAACACCTACGCGGTTTAGATGCTAGCTGTCCCTATGATGTTGGGATGTTTCCTTGGTGTGTGAGAACAGACTTGATTCCTCAGAGAATTTCACTATGTGAGCAGAAGCAGAGGCCCTCCAAGGTTTGCATAAAAGACTAAGATCTCAGGTCCTATCATCCATTTCCTTGAGCTTATAACTTTAACTCCACATTCCAGAATCAATGGAAGACTCAGAATCAAGGGAAACAGGTAGAGTCCTGTCAAGGTTAAAATTAAACCGAGCTATCATAGGAACCAATGAGCAGAATGTATTTAAAATGTTGAGTCACGTGTGAGTTTCCTCTAGTTTGAGGATCTCTGGAATAGGATTTGGAGTACAAATTTATGCACTTTCTATATTTATATATTTATAGTTAACTATCCTTTTGCATTTATTTAAAATTATGTGTTACTGTTAAATGTTTCATGAATCTGTCATTTTAAATCTTAGTGTAGGATGATAGGATAAACAAATTTACTTGGGCTGAATGTAACTAAGCAAGCTATCAGTTTAAGTGTGGTGTGCTTCACATCCAAACTGCCCACCGACTGTGGTCAGGTCCTTAGCATACTGACAAGTAACTTCTGATAACTGAAGAGCAGAAATACATGGAATGTACTTGGAATGAACAATGAGAACGGCTTTAAGAAACCTAAACATGGTGTTATTTATGGCAAGAAAAATCTTTCTAGGAGGAGGCTAGTGAAGATTCGTAGGTAGAAAAATAATAAATTTAATTAGAACAATGAAGTTAAACTTACTAAAGATTAGCAAAGCTTCACTATCTTACAATAATGAACTTGAGATTCTCAAGCGTACTAAAAACAGTTTTGCTGTAAGATATTATTATATACATGGCCATATGAAGACCCATCTGCAAATAAAAAGAATTGCTTTAATAAGCCCATAAATACACTAGAAATGACTTCAATCAAAGTGAAAAAATAAATATAAATAGGCCTGAACATTCCTAAGAGTCCATTTCTTTACCTGGTATCAAACCTTCAACAATATTTGGGGTTGGGTCCTGGGTTTGATCCCAATCATTGTGCAAAAAGAAAAAAATCTGTCACAGCATTAGAATGAATATAATTTAATAACTACCAAAAGACCCAATTTTTAACTTAAAAAATAACTTTTCTCTAATTTACTTCATTCTACTAACTATTGCCAGTAGTATCTAGAGGCATATTCCTAGAAGTATCTAGAAGCCTAACTAAAACTTCTATTTAATGATAAGTAGAGAATACATTTAACACTGTAACTGTAAGAGAGCTAACTGAGCAATCATACCTCCCTGAACAGACATAAGCGACACCTACTAATTAGCACTTGCTGTTTCTTTTCACTTATTAAAACAGTTAAAACTTTAAGGAAAACAGGTGATATGTTTCTCACATGTAAATTTAAATGTTGATAAATAGATATACCAATATGCCATTTAAGGTTTTTTTTAAAAAGTCATAATTATTAATGAAATAAAACCAGGTTACCGGAAGTTGGAGATTTGCAGCGATCCTCTGGGACGACAGTTCCTTCAGTGATATCACACAGGCCCGCTGAAAGGCAAATCAAGAGCAAATGAGACCACACCAGTTTATACAACTGGCCTCTTACTTATAGAGTCCATTATATTATGAACCACTTGAAGGCAGATTGAGAGATTATGGCAATGATGGGGTTTGTAATAGGAACATTCTGGCAATAAAATACATTCAACTAAGACAGCTGTAACCCGCTGAAGAAGAGATGTAGGAAGAGGGTTTTTCTTTTGTTGTTCTTTAAGGATACAAGACATGATGTAGGATGTTTCAAACATCAGGAATGTGCAAGCATATGATATGCTCTTTTACATTTTTCAAGGAAGAAGGAACACTTAAGCTTGGTGATTTTTTTCCCAAGAATCCTCAACTTAAATTTCTAAGTGGTTTTCCTCAAGTAAATCTTTACTATATAATTTAAAAATTTTTAAATAGTTATGAAAATATTTTGTATCTCTTAAATTTATATTTCACATTACCTGTCTTATACACTATCCCTTTTAAAACTATAATATCACATATTAAAACCTCTTAACAAAGACTTTTCTCAGCTAGACATGAGTTACATAAATTACATATGATCTATACTATAAGTTGGCCTAAATTATTATAAAAAAATCACTGCAAAGTACTTTATGAGGAGGTAAAGAGAAAGGATTAACTAAAATGTAGGATGTATGAAAAAGCCACATAGAAAGCTATTGTATCATAAATAGTACTAATAATAAAGAATGTAAAAGCAGGTATCCTGCAGAGGTGAATGACGCTGCTCCCAGAAGTCAGACTACTAAACAACAGTGCCAGTATACTGTGCGAGATGCCTCCCTATGAGCTGTTGGTCTTGAAGGTGCCAGAAACTGATCCCCACCCCAAACAGTACAGGTTATGCCACTCTGAGATGCCTGTCAGAACTGGAGAATAATAGCTTTCTGTTGAAGGCAACACGTACTTCAACTCTACAGAAACCAAGCAGGAATGGAGCTTCTTCCCTGCTGGCTAGCATTTGTAGCACTGGAAAGTGCTATGTGGGCTTCCAGGGAAAAGTCACCAAGAATCTTACATGTTGCCCTTCTGAGCTACAGGGCTGACCTGCCAGGCATGGTGTGAAGTACTGGCAACACTCATTGAGCTACCGTACAAAACAACTTCTAATTGGATTTGAGGCCTTCTCCACAGGAAAAAATTCATGCTTGGAACTCTAAAGGAGATCAAAACTTTGTGCCAGGGAAGTGACAGTGTGTGTGTGTGTGCACGCCTATGTAGTATGTGTGTGTCTATGTATGCACATGTCTGTTTATGTGTATCTGCGCATATTCATACATGTGTGTCTGTGTGTATACGCACATCATCTCTGTGTGTGTATGAATGTATGTCTGTATCTGTGCATATGGGTTATCTGTCTGTGCATGTGTGTGTGTGTGTGTTTGTGTCTGTGTGATCTACTACAAATATGTTGCTTTGCTAAGTTGATATAGTGTCAAACTACCTTTATTCCCTAAATTTTATTTACTTAATGTATGAATGCTCTGCTCCATATACATCCGCATGCCAGTAGAGGGCATCAGACCCCATTACAGATGGTTGTGAGCCACCATGTATTTGCTGGGCATTGAACTCAAGACCTCTAGAAGAGCAGCCAGTGCTCTTAACTGCTGAGCCATCTCTCCAGCCCCTAAAGTGTCTTCTAACAGTTATGTCTATACTCATAGATCGATGCTCTCTGCCTTTCTAGACAATCTTTGTGCACTGGGTGACAGTAGACAGAGAGATTCATACGTTGTCAAACTGTTGAGAACTTGTTCATATACATGAATCCTTGAGATAGCACTACAATTAAAGACTTCTAAATGGCAGTGATAATTTACAACCACAATATACTCACAAGTATTTAAATAATAGTAACCTTGGAGATTTTAATCTCTCAGTAACTTTATGAACACTCCATCTCAATGCACTATAAATTCTACAGAACTTCAGAAAACACTGTGAAATAAAATATCATTTCAGGGGCTGGAGAGATGACTTGGTCAGTCAAGTGCCTGCTATACAAGCATGAGACCCTGAGTTCAGGTCCCACACAAAAGCCAGGTGTGAGGGATCTGTAATTCCAGCACTGAGAAGGTGGGAGGAAATGTGTGGATCACTGGAGCCTAGACAAGTCAAGGAATTCCAATTTTCTTGAAGCCACAGTCCCTCTACCCCTAAAAAGCTAGAAATAATTGAAGAAAAAGCTCCACATATGCCAATGTACATGTTCACACACACACATACATAAAATATCATTTTAAAATAGTCTAGGAAAAGATTAAGAGGCTCAATTAAAGAAAGTGGGCTCATGCAATTTAATATGAATGTTAGATATATTGTATCACATTAAATGAGTGTAAGATAACAAACACCAAAGCCCTTGTCATCTCTCTGCTCTTGCTCAGGATCCGTAGAGGTGAAGATCTATCACTGTGACAGCTTCCCTCTCCCTTTACCTCTTCCTCTTCCCCCCGCCTGTCTTCCATTCCCTTCACTCACTACTCAAGTCACACAGTAAGGTGTGGTCAAAGAAGCCACATGTCTGCCAAGAGGGTCACAGTCCCCATACGGACTGTGCTCAATGTGTTCCCGCTCTTACTGCATCAAGTCCCTGTGGAGCAATCACAAAGTCAGATGCTGAGCTGCAGGAAAACCCTGAAAGTAAAACCCACTCAGACAATCAAAGTACGACCTATAGTTTCCAACCTATCCTGCTACCAAGTGCAGTAGTTACCCTTTAAACAGTGCTGATTTAGTAAATTTGCCTTCTCTTTCAGATATCCCAGTAGTAATGTAATTTGCTATTTAAAATACTTAACAGTGATATCATGAGTGGACTATCTACCAGAGTGTGCACTCTACACTAGGCATGCCAAGTCATGAGAACTAGCATAGCATTGCTACAATAACTACCTGAAAACTCAGGCAGTGGGCCCGATTCTTTCACAGATGGCAGTTTGCAAAGTCAGGTTATGTTAATCAATCATGAAAAGTGTCAGGTTGAACTAGGGACAGAGTCAATGGTGCTGGTCTGGTTGGAAAAAGTACCACAGAATTCAGTATTCAATACCTGTTTAACTTCATGAAACATGCAGCTATCAGATTTAAAAGTAAATGTTGTGCATGGGAGATGGCTGAGCAGGTAAAGCACTTGCAACCCAAACCTGCCAGTCAAGAGTTCAATCCCTAGTGTAGGTAAAAAGACTGAAGGAGAGAAACAACTCTGTACATTTGTGCTGACTCTTACATACATGCTACACAAACCATAAAAACTGGTTTTCTATAACAATGATGTATATCTATTGGATGTGTGCACATGTGCATGTAGGTGAACACACATGTATGTTTGAAGGGCAAATGTTAATATTGACTGTCTTTCCTCTTTTTGCTCTCTACCTTAGTTTTGCAGACAGTTTCACTGAACTCATCAATAGTTGCTGGGCTGGATGGTAAAGTCAAGGGCTACACCCGCCTTCACCCTCCAGGTACTGGGGCTATGGATATGTGCTACGGCATCTAGCCTTACGTGGTACAGGGGATCGAGACAGGCAATTTCCTCACAAATCCACTTGCTAGACCTGTATTTTGTTATAATCATTCTTAGTGAGCCTCTGCTGGTATCTCTGACCACCTCCAGTTTAAGTCTTTGAATAAATGTCATTATTGTTGTTGTTCTTCTGTTTGGGAGGGTTGTGTGGTGGCAGGACGTTTGTATGTCAAGGTACATATGTGGAGGACAAAGGACAATTCTGTGGAATTGGTTCTCTCTTTCTTTTTCTCTCTCTCTCTCTCTCTCTCTCTCTCTCTCTCTCTCTCTTTCTTTCTTTCTTTCTTTTTTTTGGTTTTTTCGAGACAGGGTTTCTCTGTGTAGCCCTGGCTGTCCTGGAACTCACTCTGTAGACCAGGCTGGCCTCGAACTCAGAAATCTGCCTGCCTCTGCCTCCCAAGTGCTGGGATTAAAGGCGTGCACCACCACTGCCCGGCTGGTTCTCTCTTTCTAACTTTATATGGGATACCGAGATTAAACACAGGTTTCCAGGTTCCCACAGGGAGTGCCTTTATCTACTCAGCCACCTCAGTAGCCTAATCATCTCCATTTTCTCTTTTTAAATAAGTTGTATTTATTTGTTTTATTTTATGTGTCTGGGTGTTTGGCTGCACCTATGGCTGTGTATCATTTTCATGAGTACTTGAGGCAGGTGGTTGGGAGCTGCCATGTGTGTGCTGGAAACTGAGCCCAGGTCCTCAGCAAAAGCCAGAGTGTTCGTAACCACTGAGCCATCCCTCTCCCCTGGCAGCATCAGCTATGCAGCAACTCTTGAGCTATCAGTAATTTGTTTATCAAATTAACTGATTTTTATAAGCTTTCACCTTTACCAATTTAGGTACTTTAAAAATTCCGTTCTCTTACCATCTTTGACCGCCATATAATCACCCTTATTTCAGTGAAGTAACCTGGGCTGTAATTTCTGTTAGTTTTTAAACTTCTCAGAAGGAAAAGTGATTGGTACTATTTAATGAAAGGCCAAGAAATGTCAACTATCAGTTAAAACCATCCCTTCTTAACTGGGATCCTAATTCTTAACCACATTTTATTTAAGGGCAAATATGCTTTACTTCTGATTATTTAGAAGTGAGACTTTGCTACAATTTGACCTAGTATTTACTGGTGTAGGTAATGTTGTACACCATGTTGAAAACACTCTTCTAAGCATCTCTTTCTTTCATGTGCATGCATGTGTACGTGTGAAGAAGCACTTGTGCAATGCATGCCTGAAGGCTGTAAGACAACTGTGGAAACTCGTTCACTTCCTACACTTTTGGGTTCAGAACCAAACCCAGGTCATGAGGCTTGACAACAAGGGCCTTACCCGCTGAGCTATCTGCCAGCACCCCTTTTACAATCTTGACTCTGAACCTATTATACTGAAAACACACTATACTTATAATTTCACTTTCTATGGCTTCAATTGCTCAGTGTTAGTCTGATCTGAAATATTAAAGGGTAAATTCTAGAAGTAATTCTAAATTTTAAATTAGGCACTTTCTTCTTTCAGTATTATGGTGAAATCTCACTGCACAGGACATGAACCATTATGCCATCCTAATAGTAGTCACTAGTAAGCACTAGTCTTGCTTACTGACTGTGTACTCACAGTGCTACAGAGCTTATGGTCAAGCAGCTCATAAAGGCGCAGATGATTATTTTCCTACAAGAGCTATAAACTGCTTTGACGAACTATGCCATATCACCAACAGGTTCAGGATGAATACACAACAGTAAGACATTTAGAAATAGAGAGACCATATACACATAACTTTAACTATAGAAACATTAATTGTTCATTTTAGTGTTAATGATGGTTGATAATCTTACTGTGCCTCATACTAAAGACAAAAATTCACAATATACAGAAGGTCGGAAATGGGCTCAGATCTTCCCTAGGATCTAGCATCCCTGTGACAATTTTACAGTTTTCATTATGAAGCCTCAATTCATAGCTAAGCAGTAATTCAACTTTAATGTAATAGGTAACTTATTCAAACTCCAAATGATAATATTTTATCTCATAAAGCAAATTCATAAGTGACCCTAGAGTCTTAAAATGGACTCTATCTGTGGTAGACAATCCAATCCACCATTCAAACTGACCTATTAAAAACGCTGGAGAACAATCTGATAGTGCTTGAGCTATAGATCAAGAACTCACTAGGAAAAGAGGAGAAAAAGAAAATGAGGGAGAGAAAGAATAAAAAGGCAAGCAAGCAGCAAGCAAGCTAGCTAGATGACACAGCATGTCTGTAGACCCACTGCTGGTGGGGTGTGTGTGCTTGTGTGTGCATGCATGCATGCATGTGTGCCTGTGCATGTGTGTCTGTGCATGTATGTGTGTATGTGGCATGTGTGTACATGTATGTACATGTGTGTGCATGTGTGTGAGAGAAGTGGTGGCATAGGCAGGTGCACTCCTTGCCTTACTAACTTTTAGTTTTAAAATAGGGCTCTGGCAGGCTAACCTTGTGCTTGAGGAGATCCTTATACCTCAGCTTCCAACACCCTAAAATTGTGGGTGTGTACCCCAATACTAATTAATTTGCAGAATTAAAGAATTTTAATGCCAATTATTATACAGCTAATTTTATATGAAAAATAAGTAAGACTTTTTGGGGATCAGAAACACAAATATTCTCAAGATATTATTGGAACCATTTAAGAATAATTAACCCTCCTCTCCCTCCCTTCCATGAAGCAGAGCTTCGTCTACCACAAACATATATACCCCCGGACTAAATTTTTAATTTTTATTAAGAAAGCTTAAATAGTGATGAAGTGAGGCATAATTACAATGTGAAATATTTTAAACTAATAAAAACTTCAAATAGTTCTCATATGCCTAATGTATAATTCTTCCTTATGAAATAAAGCAAATAAGAATATAAATGATATTATTGGATTTATGGAATAAAGTAGAAATGGAGTAAAATTTAAGAAAAAATTTAACGGTATAGTAAAAGTTGTTGCTATCCTTAGATAAGTTTGAACATCTAATTACTAGCAATTTAATATAAACTTCGTAAAGTATAAAAGGGGGAATTAATTTTAAGACTAGTAAGGTTTTTATAAATTTGTAAAATCTGAATTTTTTGTTCTCCAGAAAAAAAAACCTGAAAACATTTTAATATTCTTCTTTTTCAAAGATTTTATTTTATGTACGTGAGTACACCATTGCTGTGCCCTGACTCACTAGAAGAGGGTCGGATCCCGTTACAGATGGTTGTGAGCCATCATGTGGTTGCTGGGAATTGAACTCAGGACCTGTGGAGGAGCAGCCAGTGCTCTTAACTGCTGAGCCATCTATCTCTCCACCCCCAATACTTTTGTATAGATATTTTTGCCTTTGCTTTATAAAAAAGTTGGGTTGGGGCATACTGTTTAAATAGCTGTTCTGAGATAAATCTAAATAATGAGTTTAGTCTCTTAGATATAAAGTATTTTAGTTAGTAAGTAAATAAAAAAGGCAGCAGTGATTTTACAAAGAACAAAAGTGCCAAGACATAAATGACTTACTTAGGACAGAAGAGCGGAGCTTTTTCACAGATTCAGAATACAAGCTAGAAAGGCCGCACATGCAAGGAGTCCCAAGCAGCATACCTCAGTGAGCGATGAGGGGGAGGGAAAGAAACGAGACACACTAGATGGCATGGTTGGAACCGAGTCTCTGCTGAACATAACACATGACAAAATGACCCGACTCACAGACAAGAAATGTGAAACAAACCCGGAAAAGAAAAGGATGACCATTAAGCAAAATGATAGAAAACCTAATATTACCTTTTCTGTTTGTTTGCTTGTTTATTAGTTTCCTCATTTACAAACTTGGTAGCTATCATTAGCCAGAAACGTATTGAGAGCAACTAAACAATCTCAGAGAATATTTTAAAATGTCATGTGTGGGGGGTGGTGAGTGTGTGTGTCTATACATGAATATGTATTTGTGATGCTGTATATCAAGCCCAGAGCTTTGCAGATGTTAAGCAAATACTCTACCCCTCTGAGTGCTCTGAATGAAAATTCTGTTGGACTGAAGAGAATGTTTAGACAGTTCCCTAAACGGTGGCCAGTGCTCACCAGGATCTGCAGAGGAGTTAACCAAGCCTAAGGAGGGTTCTCTTCCACCCTCAGTCTAGCTGGGAAGACCACAGGAAAACTAGGCTCACATTTTAATTTTGAGAGGTCTCATTAGTATACCCCATATGTCATGCGTATAAAGTTATTTGCTGTATATTACTAAGTGAAAACAGGATACCTAGCTAGAAATATTTGTATTCTATGTTGTAAGAAGTATCAGCATTAAAACCTTTAACAGTAGATACTTAGCAGACACTGAAGAATGCTAGAGAGATTTTATAAAATCATTATGTAATCACCTCTGTGCCCTCACTTTCACACATGGAGTCATTACTTTGACTTAAATAGTTAAAACTCAATTATTGGCTTACAAGAACCAAACAATAAAACTTTGAAATCTACTTCTATTCTGTAATAATTGGAAGTATATTCCTGGCATTATGCTGATTCTCTGGACATTAAATAAAAGCCCAGATTATTAAGAACAAGAGAAAACATAATGGCACTACAAAATAAGAACTAAGACTTGTGTTCTCTAGCTAGGCTTTGTTGTCTACATTCAGGTCAAATCAGTCGGGCTGCTGATTAACTGAAGCGCTTGCAGACACAAGGGTCACACACACGTGAGTGTTTACAGCGGTTAAGGCTCAGGGAGCTTTTCTTTTCTTTTACCTCCTGAAGGCTGTCGAGATTTACGGGGCGACCGAGGTTCTCTCCGATAAGGATCATTTGAGCCGTATAGTTCAATGGTGCTGAGGTTGAGCAGTACTGCTTTCTGGAGGTAGTCAACCATTGCAATGCCATTACAGTTGCCGAAAACCACCCTGGCAGCAGGAAAAGCATAGGTAGGTTAGTGCAAACAAGTTATTAAGAAGAAATACAAACTATAAAGCTGATGAAAATAGGGTGATGGGTGTTTCAGAAAAATCTTTATTCATTTATTATGTGCATGTATGTGTGTGTGTGTGTGTATGTGTGTGTATGTGTGTGTGTGTGTATGTGTGTGTATGTGTGTGTGTATGTGTGTGTGTATGTGTGTGTGTATGTGTGTGTATGTGTGTGTGTATGTGTGTGTGTGTGTGTATGTGTGTGTATATGTGTGTGTATGTGTGTATGTGTGTGTATGTGTGTGTGTATGTGTGTGTGTGTGTGTGTGTGTGTGTGTGTGTGTAGCTCACATGTGCAGGTTAGAGAATGACACTTGGGAATTGGGTCTTTCCTTCCACCTTGGGACCCAAGGATTCGCCTCAGTTGCCGGAAACTAAAGACAAGTGTAGGGATGGGGATACAGAATGCACGGCCCTTTTCAAGGAACTGTTCACAAATCTGTAAACATTACCTACAACATTAAACCAAGTATCAATACCATTTCTAAGAATATTTGACACAGAAGATGAAGTTTTATCAGAAATAAACCCTCCTACACTAAGCAATGTGACATCTATTTTTCTGCCCCTTGGAAAATGGAACTATATATAGATTGGGGTAACTTCTGGTAATTCTTCTGTCAAAATAAAAAGGAAATATAATTCTTGGGAGGCTCACTTTGAGGTGTTAAAATACTTTCTTCATTACAGTTTACGGACTACAGTGTAATCTCTCATGAATGAAGGATTCTTATTCTGAGAGCTCTTGCAGTGTATGAAAGCCGGCATGTACAGAGGAGTTATCTTTATAGTCAGAGTATGGATAAGACTTTGAAAAGCAGGTAATGAACTCAAAAAGGAAACCTTCCACTCAGGCCCAGATGACAACACTGTGCATAAATGCACAAAGGGAGCAGAAAGTTAGATTTTTCACTTGAAGCTTTAAATATGGTTCTATACTTTATATAACAACTAATTTAAATTTAAACATACAGAAAGTGCAAAAACTCCCACTAACAAACAACTCCATAAACACAATAAATCCTATAATTAATCAATTAATTTTAACTACTTTTGAAACTTCCTATTGATTCTTGTTTTTCATCTGCTGTTTGCTTTTTTATTTGAACGGTTATGTTGAAACAGTATTTAGAAGGTATAGGCTTGTGCTCTTCTGTTATAAAGCAGCTAATGAGAGATATCAGAGAGGCCACTCAGTGTACAACTAGTCAGAGTTGGATGTACAACTCCTAGAGACAGAAGGTTGATAGTGACGGGGTGGGGGAGGGGGAAGGACAAGTAACTCCATAGAGCTACTCCTGAGGACAAAGACGGGCTATGTAAGATAAACACTTCAGTAACTAGACAGTACAGAAGCAGCTTCTTACTGTATTGCTGAATTTTTAAAAACAAAAAAGACCTACCACATGCTTTATCTCTACAGTAAAGCAGAAGAACACTTACAGCTGTGTATAGGTGAGAATTGTGTTAAAGCCACCGCCACGCCCTTAGAATGTGCACAAGTTAACTTTGGAGGCAGGAAAAAGAAATGGCACTGTTTGCTACAAGATCCATTTATACAGTCTTAGGTTAGCGTCTAAGAGAGTTCCGCAGGAACACAGTGAAGAGGGTATACTGACTTTGACTCTTTGTCTCCAATGATTACTGGCCCATACTTTGTATCTGTAGTCACAGGACATAGCCACAGGATCAATTCAAAACAAGACTATGTCCCGAATAAAGCATCAAATAACATTTGAAGTTCTAGTTATACAGCAACATTTTAGGTGATGATACAATAAAGCCTAAGTTCTTTATACTTTTATAACTTAAATCCAAATTATACAGGGAATACTATAAAGAGAGCAAGGAAACAAAACAAAAACAAAACAAAACTCCTCTTACTTACAGTCCGTAGGAAGAGTTGAGTGCCAGGCTAGTGATCTGCTGTGGGGGTTCTCCACCCACCCATACCAACTGAATGACTAACTCTGTCTGATAGCCTGGAGACTGTTTAAGTGGTGAGTTTTTAACTCTGAAAAAAAAAAAAAAAAGAAGACACATTAGCTTTAACATTTTTCCAATTACCCGATTGTCCTATATACATAAAACCATACATGGTCATGCAAGAATATCTTTATACAGGAAACAACACTAGATTTCCTAAAATGTAAAATTCAGAACCTTGTATTATAGAGTTGTTTGAACTAGTAAAAGACAGGAACACATGTCTAAGCGATAGAAATCCCCTAGTTAGGATCTGACTGGTAGATCGTGGCTATAAAGAGGGGAGACTGCTAGGGTGGAACAGGAGAAAGCATGTGAGGACACGAGAAGACAGGAAAAACAGAGCAGGGAAAGGTAGGCCAAAGGAGAAACAAGAAACCAGAGAAGAAATAATTAAAATTAAAAAATGCATGAAAACATAAAGCTTAAAATCACAAAAACACACTATGGAATTCAAAGCTAAGTAGGAACAAATGATTTTTAGTGGGTAACAATTTCACCAACTAAAATTAAGCAGAGCACTCCTCTGATTTTTGAGGCTCAGTTGGTGGATATATGTCATATACATTCTTTTGATTGTTCTGACATGAAATAATATTTTATAGTAGATTTAGAATACATTAGGAGGTTAAAGTTGATATGGCTTATAAGTATTTGGAAAATATCAACTAATTTTTTATTGTGTGTGCATAATGCTCACACATACATGCAAAGAGGACAATTTGCAGGAGTTCTTCCCCTCTAATATACAGAATCTAGAGATCAAACCTAGGTCATCAGACAGGAAGAGTAGGCACCTTTACCTGCTGAGCCATCTCAGCAGCTGAAGAAGGCAGAAATCTTGGACTGATTTTAATACTCTGTAGCAAAGAAGGTAGCCAACACTGACTGAGGTTGGCTTGAAGAGAGCACCAATCATAGCAGCTCTGTATTCAGCATAACTAAATGAACCCCTTAGAAACATCAGTGTGGAGTAACAAAATTCTTAAGGGAGCAAATACGGAGACAAAGTATGGGACAGAAACTGAAGGAGGGGCCGTCTGGACACAATTCCACATGGGTATTCATCCCATGTGCAGTCACCAAAGGCAGAAGCTGATGTGGATGTCAGGAAGTGCATGCTGACAGGAGCCTGATATAGCTGTCTCCTTAGAGGTCTGCCAGAGTCTGACATATTCAGAGGCAGGTGCTCACAGCTAACCACTGAACTGATCAGGAGGCAAACACCCAAACCTCACAAACAATGGATAAGCTCATGTTAAACTTTTATTGCTTAAGTCTATGATATTAGAAAAGGGAGGTGAGGAAGGAGTTTATGGAAATATGAGACTCTAAAGAAAACTTAGATGTAACACTTGTCATGCACTTGTCAGCAAATTTCATGTGAAAGAAAAATATGTAAGCAATAAGACCAATTTATCTTCACATGTAACTACATTCTAACCTGGAAATGGCTTAGACTGAACACTCTTACAAGTCTGGTCTTTAATAGACAGCGAGAAGACTACTCACTGTTAAATGGCCTGAAACCATACTAAGTTGCAGGGGTTTTGAATGATTTTGCTGGTATCTCTGAAGGACCAAGACACTTGTTAGTAATGTGCTGACCAAGAAAGGTCAGAGCTGGGTGTCCAGAGTTCTAGAAGAATGAGAATCACTGTGGATACAGTATTAGAAAGTAGACTGTAGTCACTTCTGGTTAACCTTTAGGTCCTCAGAGCTGTATTCTGCTGAGACATACTTTCTGACAGTTTTCAGGGAACTGGTCAACAAACATCTTCACTTGGCAACCTCAAGGAAGTGACATAAGAATTGAGGCATCTGAACTCTGATCAGAGGCAGCCTTGACACAGATGTAGGCTTAGAGTCCAAATGGGGCTATTCTTGTTTGAAGTAGGCACAGAAAGTAAGCCTCCAGAAAGCACTCCTATGCCTGGTATTCAGAATGTGCATGCTGGGTCAGGTTCTCAAGAATAGGAGTAGGTAGTACAGTAATAGTTTTAAAAGCATATATAGGACACTCTTAAGGTTTGTGATGAGAACACAAAATGTTCATTGTACAGGACTGAAGAAATAGATCAGCAGTTAGAAGCACTTGAAACTCCTGTAGATGACCAGGGCTCAGACCACAGGACTTATGTCAGGCAGCTAACAACTGTCTGTAATTGCAGCTCCAGATGATCTGATAACATTTTATAGCCTTCACAAGCACCTATACCCATGTGTACATAGAAACTCAGACATTGACATAAACGATAACCACCTTTTAGAAACTCCATTGTGCTAAGAAATGAAAAAGGTAATTAAGAAAATAAAAATAAAAAAACCATCAAAATAACTTTATACAAAAATCTCTAATGTGTATTAAAACAACAACAGCAACAATAACAACAAAAACAACAATGACAACAAATTAGAAACATGGGCTAGCTGGGGTAATATTTAGTGTGTAGAGTTCTTGTCTGTTTGGAAAATCCACAGAAATGTAAAACAAATAAATAATCAGAAGCCTGTTCAAGAAATACTAGAAGGGACTAACCAACCAGATGGCTCAGCAAGTTAAGGCATTTGTGGTCAAGTTCCAAGACCTGACCTTGACACCCATGACCCACATACGGAAGGAGAGAACTGACCCCTACAATCATTTTGGCCTTTATGCTTGCTTGTGTCCATATATGAATGATTTTGCTTGTGGTCTGTGTACATGCATGTGTACACACATGTGCGTACACACACATGCACATGCACGCACGCGCGCACACACACATACAAATAAATAAATCTAACCAAAGAAGAAATGAGAGATATTAGATTTTAAAAATAGTAAGCAGAAAGGACTGATAAATTTTCATCTATAACTGTTTAAGTTAATGATTTTAATATTTTAAATATGCTCAACTTGCTTACTTGTTAAAGATAAGCTATAGAACTTTTATAAAACGTTCCACAGTTTGTAGAAATACATTTTGAAATGTCAAAATCACATTTGGAAGTGTCACAATTTAAAAAGAAACAGTTTGTTTAAACAAGTACTTTGCAAAGGGACAATTATAATTCTTACATAAATAGCATAAAATTAGATTGGTAAAAGGGGCAAATAAAACAGCTCTAATAATGTTTCTTTAAAAAATACCCAATTACATAGAAAGGCATTGTGGGATGCCAAGGAACTTCGGAGTGTATGTGTGCTGTAGGAGCACTACCATGTTAAGGACTGATGCCTCAAAGCCATGAAAATGGCAGGGCCTTCCTGGTCAATTCCAGATGCTTATTACAGTGCTTGAAGAAAGTGTCTACGTTTATCCTGGGAATACTTTTATTCCTGCCCATCATGTATAAGCTTGTCTTTAACAACATCAATAAGTTGGCAACCAAAGTACATGGCTTGAACCTGAAAATGGACCCCAGACAGAGTTATTAAATTAATAGGCTGGCAAGCCAAGGATGGGTAAGATTCTGCACAGAGCCTTACCAATTTAAGACAAAAGTGCATTGCTTTTGATAATGCATATTCCATGATGGATAAGGAAGGCATTCTTGTCAGAATGACCTAAGACAGGCTCAGTCTTGTTAATGAAATAAAAGAGCAGGGGAGGCGGAGAGTCTTTGGGGGTGCTTGGCAAGAATCTGACATTAGGCTAGAACAAAGAAGTAATTTTAGGCAGGAATCTAAATATTAGGTTAGATCACTGGACAACTGTCAGGGGCAGCCCTGATTATACACTGAAGGCCTAAAATTAGCCATAGGCCAAAAATCAGCCACAGGCCTAAAAATCAGCAATAGGTCTGACATATATGCCTACTAACACAAAGTCTTGTGTCTCTGTGGAAAAACACTGAAACAGATGGCCAGAAGTTATTGTAAACAAGCAGCCTTGATGGAAGGCTGCCAAGCCTGGCTAGTCATAGACCTTGTAGATAGGTAACCTTGGTGGATAGTACCAACTTAGATAAAGACAAGTGAATCATAGGTGGAGTCATAGTGATCTGTCCCCTCAACCTTCACCCAGCTGACACTCTGTTCTGGAAGATATCTGTACTCCCCCTGAACACCTACACCCCTGCGTCATCCCCTTCCCCACATCCTGCCTTTTTGTATATATAACCTGTGTGTGAAAAAGTAAAAATGGCGATCTGATCAGATTAAAGACAGGTCATCAGTCCTTGCGTCTTTGCCTGCTCCCTCAGGCTTGACAACTAGATGAGACGTTCTGCTGCCCAGCATTCAGGGACTTGAGGAGATCACAGGAGTACACCGACTCCTCCTAAGAAGGTAGGCCTACCAGGTTTTCGGGAGCTTAGAGGGTGGCTGCCTGGAGTGCATGAAAGCACTCCCTTGGAGCACTTTTTAGAGTGACTCCCCCAAAGGAGCACACAAGTAATATGCGCCCCCCCCCCCCAGTTGCTTGAGAGCACTCCCAGTTAGAAGGATACCACAGTCCACCCAACTGTGAGACAATCCTTGGGAGGATCAGAGTGGGTCAGCCTTGAGGTAAAAGGCCCCCCGGGAGAGGCATCTCGTGACACTCAAGGAGTAAGTCACCCCGGGCACAAAGAATTAGGGTTAAGAAAAAGAATTAGGGTTAAGAAAAGACATGGGGTAAACATTTTTTAAGCACTCTTTGTGACATGGCTCCAGGAGCCTATCTTCAGAAAATGGGGAACTAGGGTTAAAAAAAAATCTTTAAAAATTCTTTACTTTTATTAGTGTTTTCCCAAGAGGGGGCTATTGATAAAAACTGTTATACCTCCTAAAAAGGAGATAAGAAGTTAAACCTTGAAAATGAGAGAGAGAAAAGTGAAAGGAGTTTCCCTGCTCTCTGGCGTGTTAGCAAAAGAAAAGCAAAAAGTTTATTACAGAGCCCTCCTGAGAAGCAAGAGATGTTTGGAGGATGCCCTGGTCTCTCTGGCTCTCTCTAGGAGAGATCCTCAGTGCTGCTTTCTGTTTATTGTTTGTCACTGGTGCACCAATTTGTCCATGTGTGTTGTCTGTCTTTGTCTCGTTGTTTAAATGATTGTTGTGGTCTA